TATATATATATATATATATATATATATATATATATATATATATATATATATATATAAAATGGTCTCAAATAAATTAAAAAATAAAGGACACATACAGGCATATAAATAATCATAAGAACGGCTTATAGAGAACGGAAATCGCCCAATTTGCGAAAAATCGCCCAATAGAAATTTAAGCGCAGGATACATCTCAAAATCGCCCAATCTGGCAACCCTGTTGCAAATTTGAATGAATAATACAAACTTCAAACATTTCAATAATTTCTTTTTCGAGTAATCATTTTTTCAGTAAGCGAAACATTTTTTGGATATCAACGAATTGCTAAATAACAATTCGATTGTCTAGAAGATCCGAGCTATGATGTTTCCAAATTTTAGTTTTATGTCAACTTATCGAACCCTCAAAGGAAAGCTATGCCAGTCCATTAAGTTCGATGGAAATGGTCAGGTTTATATATATGTCTATGATCTATTCATTAGTCAGGAGATGTAGATGGGATCCAATTGCTGGTGGACCATCAAGTTGCACAAAGTTCTGCGTCCCAATAGAGCTTCCAGAATGGATTCCACTCTGTTCTCTGTTTTCTCTTCTCGCATTCAATGAATAGCTGCCAGTACTCCATAGATTACTGCAGTACTGAGGTCTGAGACATTATTTCACAAGCAAATTCCGTATTCTGTATTCAATATTTCCAACTTTGTGTGCTCCCAAGACGAAATAATAAATTTACACCATCAAAGTTTATGACCCAGGTCAAAATTGTTCCTTCAATAAATTATCCCTCGGGTGTTAAGCTTTGATATCATATATTTATACGTTTAGAGAAAAGGGCAGCCCACCTGGGCAAAATCTTCCGAACCAGCCAAACACTTTTTGTCTTTTCTCATCACATCAGTATACCCTCCGGCAGTCGACACGGCTTAGGTATAAAAAAAAAGCGCTCTCGTTTAATCCCGACTTGGATTACACGGCTACGACAAGAAAATAGCCGGGAATCACGAGGAGAGTTCTATGCTTTATTTCTTGGATGAAAATCCGGTTACCCGGAAGGGAAATAGAAGTGAAATTCGCTTGGCAATCCTGGAGAATCTTTCTGCTGATGGAAAGCAAGTAAGCACCAAAAGTTCTGCCATAGGTTACTGCTATAATTCATGCAATTAGCGACAGAGAGTAATCTCTCGAAAATTAATGCTCCAAAGTTTATATATCACATATTAAACTTTGTAAGTACGGTCACGCCATATGCGATAGCTGGGACACATATATTATGCTAGTAATACATATTATACACACGAAAGTGGGAAACCGTAGCGATGTCATTTTCCCAGATAATCCTACCGGAAAGGTTTGTTCAAGAATAATATGTCACTTTTACTTTCAGCGGCTTTTCTACGCCATTTTTCTTCTCTTTTACAAACAAGCCAGGCTATCCAATTAAATGCATTAAATATCCAATGTCCAATTCCAAATCCTTATATAATCCGAATATTACCGGACCAATTCTTTGTTGGTCAGCCAATCAATAATTCCATTTGTTCTCCAAATACAAATGAAATTGACTGTCATATAAAATACAGGTACTAACGTCACTATATTGTCCAAGTATGTAAATGAGCTTAACATAAACTGTCCATGGCTTTGATATTCTATGCTCAAACTACTCTACCTTTTCATTAGTATGAATGATGCTAGCTTTTTATTTCATGGAAAGAAATATTATCTAATTAGTTCAAACTCATATCCGGCTTAGTTGAAAGTTTTCAACTGGACTTATATTTTACTTATTTTTAAAAAGCTCAAATTTACATTTTATCATCCTTTTACTGGTTCTCGAATTAACTGCGGAACACGGTAGTTTATCTAATTTATGTAAAATGCATCTAAAAGCTCATTAAACAAGCTTGAATTTCTAGATCTACTTATTCCTGTAGACCAAAAATAACCTATTTATTCATTTATTTAATAAAATTTTACTCATACCATAAGCCGTATCTAACGTTATTAATAAAATTAACAAAGTTAATTCCAACACTGAGAAGCTTACAGCTCGTTACCCCATCTGTTAGGATTCACGAAAGCTCTCGTGGAGAACAATAACTTTTTTTTTCTTACAAGTGAGTTGTTGTTGGCGTACAAACGAGTCCTTGGCGGAACAAAGCCCACTCGATACTTTTTCCATAATAGCTGAAATTTAAAAAGGAAAACAAAGCAGAACTATTTCTGCTATTTGCATTATATAAATAATATATACATACATTTGTTTATTCCTCTCCGGCTACTCAACAGTTAGTTATCGTTTATTTTCCACAACATGTATTGTATACAAAGTACAACCACTTGTGCTTCTATTCTGCTTTCTGGTTGATATGAATAATAACAAAACTAAAGGTTTTCTCTGGTAACTAGGTCGCGGAGCAAAATTTATGGAGCGAAAATTTTCTTTGCTCGACTTAAAACTTTTAAATGTGATTTATTTTTATTTCCTTTGGAGTCATGTTGTGTTACCGTGTTGTAGGTGGGGTGGTGCTTAAGCAGCTTGCAGAAGCGCCTACAATTTAGTTAGTTGCACCAACTACCAACTACCAACTCTAGAATTAATATCAATCTCGTACGTGTATATTTATTGTACATACACTTAAAACTCAAACTGAAGTGATTCATCCGTCGGTTGACCTAAATTCCTCAACTACGCTCATGAATCTTGCGCTAAGTCAATACCAAGGCAATTTACATCGATTTTAGTTTTAGTTTCTGGTTATGTTTATTCATGACCGTGATATATCGTTATAATTTATTATTAGCCTTTATTTATCATTCATTTGACTTTTAAAGGCCAATAAATAACGACGGACCTCTCTAATTTTTGAGTTGTGTCTCTATTATGTTATTCCTTCTCCCAACTCATCAACTTCTCTTCATCATTTTTTATAGATATCATCATAAGCGACGATTAGAGTCTACAGTTATAAACTGATGTTTATCTATCAAAAAATTTTGAGGATCACATCAGTAATTACAAATTATAAATTGGCTGTATTAACTTTAAACTAGGTTAGATCCCCATTAAATTAATATCTTGGCGCTCGGCAGATATTATTCCCATCTCCAATCATTTAATTATAATAATCTCCTTAACAAAGTTAACTGCGCTCCTTATACCTTATCTACGTTAACGTCGATCAAGATGAGAAACTTGCATCACTCAATTGAATCTTACACACTCCATTAATCTCCAGCACACCGTCGAAAACACTCTACTCGCTTTTACCTTCAAGGAGTTTTCCTCTCTCTATCTCCACCTTTTCATTTCTCCAGAAACTTTAAGATAAAACGAAAAGTCTCTGTTAGCTGATAGAACTTTATTTAACTTTAACTTGGTACGGCACGACCATTT